ACATGTGGGAGGCAGGCGCTCCATCACTGAGCCCAGCCCCAGCCCCTTTTATTCTTTCTTAATATAGACTTGTGCTGTAAACTCCCACAGAATTCAATGTAACTTCTTATTTTAACATGTTTTATAACTTTTTGAATTGAACCAGGGGTGTTTTGCCACTAACCCACATTCCTAGCCCTTTGGTCTTTTATTTTGAGACAGCGTCTCACTGGGTTACCCCGGCCGGGCTAGAACTGTTACCTCTTACTTGAGCCTCACAGATTACTGGGATCCCAGGTGTGGGCCACCCTCCCACCTTGTAATTYCATTTTGTATTCCTTTTGTGATACCTGCATGATTTCAAAGCATAGTGAACAGTTTCTAAATACTTGAGACTTTCTTAGTTATCTTTATCTTATTGATTTATTTTATTCATTGTGGTCAGAGAAGGTACTTTGTATGTCTTGAATTTTTGACATTTATAAGATTTGTTTTATTGCCCAGAATATGGTCAGTCTTGGCAAATGTTCCTGTGTTTTGGGGAAAAAAACCACATGTATCCTAATGTTATTGAAGGGAGCGTTCAGTGAATGCTGCTCAGGTCAAATTGGTCAACAGTGTGGCTATTCACGCCTCTATCTTGCTGGTTTTCCCCCTTGTCCTCTCTGTYCCRGAGAGAGRAGTGTTGGAAGCTGTAACTCAGGTCTGTCTGTGCTCCCTCCGTTCGTATCAGGTTGCTCTGTGGCTTTTGGGGCTCTGTTATGTGTCCACAGAGTGTCCAGAGTTGTCGTGTTGATGAGACCGGCAGTCTGGCTGGCTTGATTTTCTTTTCCCACGCTTTTACCCTGAMCCTCTTGTGAACACAGCACCTTTCCTGCAGTGTTTGAATATGTGATGTAAGTCACAGTGACTGTTGGCATGACCTTGTCTGCTGAGTCTCTCCTTTGTGCCTGTCCAGGTCAGTTGGCATCGAGCCATTCATCTTTGTCATGGGTCTCGTCTTCTTTTTTYCCTTGCTCCCTCCCTCCCCCTCCCCCCTTCTTCTTCCCGCTCCTCAGCCTCCTGGTAACTTTGGATACCAGCCATTGCGTCTCACCTTGCTGCACCCTGTCATCCCCCTTGAACTTTGTGCTAGGATGTGGTAAGTTTCTTGGGTGCACTTGAGTCCATTCAGGGCTTCTTTTAGCTTTGTGAGGGGACAGAGCAGCATTTAGTCTAGGGGAAGTTTTATGTCATCACTCAGGTAAGACCCTTCCGTAGCACTCTGCCTGGTACCTGTACCTGATGACTTCGTGCTTTTCACTCTGGCCTGGGACCAGGCACATTCCTGGCCCTTTGTAAGCTCCGGATGCTGTTTTTGCCAATCCCTTTGGGTAGGTTTTCCCCAGTTTCGGTTACTTTTCCTTCTGTGGCACTTGTATTAGTTTTCTAACGCTGCTGTAACAAATTACCAAAGACTTAAAGTTATTACACAGATTCATCATCTTAAATTGTTTAAAGTCAGAAATCCGACGTGGGTCTCACTAGGTGAAGATCCAGATGTAGGTAGGGCTGCGTTCCTTTTTTGTGGCTCTGGGAAGGATCTGTTTCTACTTTCAGGTTGTCTACAAAATTTGTTTCTTTGCATTTATAGTACCAAAGTCCTTGCTTTCTTTCCACCTATGAGCTGAGGGCTTCTGTAGGCCACCCCTATTTCTTGTATCAAAGCCACCTTCCTGCATCTTCAAAGTCACCAGTGGCTGGTTGAGTGTTTCTCATGCCTTGATTTTTTTTTACTCTCTTATTTCTTCTCTTTGACTTAGTGAGACAGTTTTCTTTTTTAAGTGGGGTGGGTGGGGGTGGGGGTGGGGGTGGAGTATGGGGATTGAATTTAGGGCCTTGTTTATGCTAGGCAAGTGCTCTCTCACTGAGTTACATCCCCAGGCCTTTTGATTTCTTTAAGATCCCACTAAGTTGTCTAGACTGATCTCAAATTGGCACATGTCTTACTTCACCCTCCTGAGTAACTGGGATTACAGGTAGGTGCCACCATGCCTGGCTAAATTTTCTGCTTTGAAGGATCTGCTCTCACCCTGATAATCCACAATAGTCTAGTCTCTAGGTATATACCTTTAATTTCATTGCTAAATCTCTTTTCCATATAAGTGGAAGTGTTCATGTATTCTGTGTATTCGGGAATGGGCATCTTTGGGACATTATTCTGCCAACCCAGCACTGATCACAATTCACTGAGTGCCTGGAAGACCCTCTGCAGGTCTCCAGAGTTCTCTCTGGATGTGTTAGTCTGCTTTCCATCACTGTAAGATTATACCTGAGATAATGAATTTATAAAAGCAAAAAGGTTATTTTAATTTATRGTTTAGAGGTTCCATTGTATGATCAGACAGACCTGTTGCTTTTAGCGTTCTGGTGAGAGTACTGGATAGACATGGTGGGGAGCAAGTGGCATAGGAAAACTGCTTACCCTGTGGCCAGGAAAGGGATGGGGCAAGGGTCCCATAATCCCCTTTTGGGGCACACCCCCAGTAAGCTATGGACCTCCCATTGGGTCCCACCTCCTAAAAGTTTCACCCTCCCAATAACTCTACCCTGGGAACCAAGCCTTTAGCACTGTGTCTTTGGGGACACTTGTCACCATAGCCCTGGGCAACTGTCTGCTCCTGGAGCCTGTACACTAGCTGTCTTGGATCGGCCACCCTCCTGGCTCTGTTTCTSAGCCCCTCTGGCCTGCTTCAAGGCCTGGGGCTCTTCTCCTCGCAGTGCCCGGGGTAGCTGAGGGGCGCCCTCATTTCCCACCCCTAGGGTTCACTAGCCTTCGTTTTCTGATGTCTAAGAAATACATTTTCATGTATTGTGTCCAGTTTCTTTTCTTTCTTTTTTTTTTTTGTATCAGGGATTGGACCCAGGGTTCTCAACCACTGACCCATACCCCAGCCCTATTTTGCATTTTATTTAGAGGCAGGGTCTCACTGAGTTGCTTAGCACCTCACTTTTGTTGAGGCTGGTTTTGAACTCATGAGCCTCAACCTTCTGAACTGCTGGGATTACAGGCATGCACCATCANGTCAGCGATTGGGTCCCCGGGGTCAGTGGTCAGGCACACCCCCACACGGATGGGCTCTCTCATCAGGAGAGGGACGGGAAAAACTTCGACATTTGCCAAAGTGCCTCAGACCCTCAACGGGAGGCACCCGATCACGTGTGAGAATGGCTCCCAACAATGTTTTATTTATTTATTTAAAAAATTTAGACGTTGAAGGACCTTTATTTTATTCATTTGCTTATATTTGGTGCTGAGCGTTGAACCCAGTGCTTCACACATGCTAAGCAAGTGCTCCACCACTGAGCCACAACCCCAACGCCCCTTTTTATGTTTTATTTTGAAACAGGGTTTCACCAAGTTCCTCAGGGCCTCACTAAATTGCTGAGGCTGGCTTTGAACTCACAATCCTCCTTCCTTGGCCTCCCAGGTTGGTGGGATCACAGGCGTGTGCTGCATGCCTAGCCTGTCTAGTTCTTGAGGTGCTCTGGCGGGAGGGCTGGGTGGCTCTGTCACACTCACCTCTCTGGGGCAGATGGCCCCTGGTGCCCAGCCATCTTTGTTTGCTCCTGTTTGAGTTGGGTCAGGGCCACCCTTAGGTCATGTGATTGGGTCRCCTTTGTTGAATGGTGGAGATCAGCAGTGGTGGCTTTACACAGGCAAAGCCTCTGTCCCTGGCTCCTCTGCCGCGTGGACTCGGTCCAGGTCTGGGAACTCGGGGTCTGAGGTTTCACGCCAGCCGCCCCTCCCCTGAGAAGAGTGCTGTGTGGGCTCTTCTCAGTCGCCCTGTGCCCTGCCCCTCTCCTTGCTGGGCTGCAGGTGGAATAGTGTGTCTATTTCCCCTTTTCCTTGTTCCTTTCAGATGTTTTCCAGGAAGGAAGGGACAGTGTCACAGCGGCCTGCTCTGCCTCTCTGTCGTGTTGGCTCCCTGGGGGTTTCTGTCCGTTAGCTGTCTTTTCTTGCTCTTAAGGGTTTACCCTTGTAAAACATGCATCTTTTCCCTCATTTTATTGGAGTTTTGGTGTGGTTGGTAAATGCTTGGGGTCATTTATTTTATTTTTTTTTAATATTTATTTTTTATTTATTTATTTTTTCTTTTTAGGTGGACACAATATCTTCTATTTTTATGTGGTGCTGAGGATCGAACCCAGTGCCTCACACATGCCAGGCGAGCACGCTACCATTTGAGCCACATCCCCAACCTCTCATTTATTTTTAATTTCTGCAACTCCCAAATTGACACCATTTCTAACCTTGCCTCCTCTCCATGTGGGCACAGTCTTTTGAGATGCCAGGGCGGCGGGGTCAGGCATCTCTCCTGACTTTCCCTGAAGCGCATCAGGAAGGAATGCTGGATGGGAGATGAAGGGAACGTGGGGCTCGTGGATCCTCAGTGAACAGAGGCCAAGTGGTTAGGGTGAAGCTGGCTGCCAGGCGAGGGTCAGCTGTGGCCTCTCTGACCTCTGGAGGAAGGCACAGGACATGAGCATGAGACTCCGGATGAGTAGTCTGTGTGCTGGGGGGGCCATCTCTGCAAGCGCTTTGAGGACTGTGGTGTGTGAGGCACAGTGTCCACTGTCTCCTCAGGGAAGGGACAGGTGCTTTGGGTGGAGGAGCAGCTTTGTCTGCCAGGACTCAGGATGGTGAGGCCATTCTGTGGGCAGCACTTCCCCGAGCTGCCAGCTATGTGTGTGTGKGGGGGGTCTATTTGACTCTCTGTATAATTTTACCAGCTGCAGTAGAGATAGTTCCCAGGGGAAATTCATTTAAATGTGTTTTGTACAAAAATGGTAGCTGCACATAAACTTGGTATTATGGAGGCTTATGAATTAAATCCTGTGTTTTTGTCTTCTAGGCTGCAGAAACTCTCCATGTGCACTTTAGGCAGTGGAAGCTGAGAACTCAGAAATGGCAGAGTCCTACATGGAGAGTGAGTGCTCAGGACCTGGGGTAGATGGCCAGGTGCCTCCTGCCCTCTGCTGTTGGGACAGGGCAAAGCCAACATGGACTGTCCACTCGACACCTGGGAGCCTGGTGGGGTCTRGGCAAGGATGTGGAGCTCACCTGTTGGGGTTTAGGATCCAGATGAGCCATGGCATTCAGAACGTGGTTTGCGGGAATGACTGTTGAAAGAACAGATCTTTCCCAAGTTTTCATTGAAGAGAAGTAAGAATGCAGTAATTGTCTTATCCTGCTTGGGCCGTTCCGAGGAAATACCCTAGACCGGGGGACTCACAGACAATACTTTTTTTTTCTAATAGCTCTAGAGATTGGCAGGACCCAAAACCAGACCTGAAGGTTTGTGTCTGATGAGGGCTGCTCTCTGCTTCCTCAGTGGCACCTCTTGCCATGTCCTCACATGACCGAGGGACAGAGGGACTAGGGATCCCACTGACTGTTGGTAAGGCACAAATGCCCCCTGCTRTCAGGATGGTCACCACCCAGAGGCCTCATCTCTTAAAACACCACATTGGAGGTCAAGTTCCAGCGTGAGTTTGGAGAGGCCAGTATTCAGGCTACGGCAACAGTRTAGGTGGACCTGAAATGGTGGTTTCTCTGCAGTGTGGCACACTTGCAGTGGGTGTCCCTGGTCCACTGTACCCTCATCCTCTTTTAAGAATATATTTATTTATTTATTTTTGGTACCAGGGATTGGACTCAGGGGCACTCCACCAGAGATCTCTGTCCCCAGCCCTATTTTGTATTTTATTTAGAGACAGGGTGTTGGTAAGTTGCTGAGTGCCTTGCTAATCTTCTGAGGCTGGCTTTGAACTTCTGATCCTCCTTCCTCAACCTCCCAAGTTGTTGGGATTACAGGCGTGTGCCGCCGTGCCTGGCCCTCACTCCATTTTTTTTTCTATATTTATTTTTTAGTTATAGGTGGACCCAATATCTTTATATTTATGCTGTGCTGAGGATCGAACCCAGCGCCCCGTGCATGCTAGGCGAGCGCTCCACCTCTAACCACCATCCCAGCCCATCCTCACTCCCTTTTAAACAAGACAGGCCGTGACCCTGGTCTGCCTTGGCTGGCCACAGCTTTCCCAGCTGACAAGGCACATCACCAATGGCCTTCTGCAGGTGTCGGGTGAGATTCTGGCCACGTGGCTCTGCCTCCTGGAGCTCTGCTGACGGTTGAGCCRTCCCTTGGGCGCTATAAGTGCCACTCTGGGTGCTGCATCCTCAGCTTGAGGGATGCTGAGAGGCCTGCAGTGTGAGGGCATTGACAGATGGAGGTGCATGGGAATGGGTTTGGGTACCTGTGAGATCTGAGGCCCAGCCAGGTCAGGACAGGGACACAGAGCAGTTGGGATGAGGGAGAGGAAGGGCATGTACTTGTCCATGGAGGTTGGTCTCCATGTAGTCCAGAGCCCAGAAACAGGTGAGGGTGTTGGTCAGAGGGTCCAGGTTTGGTKTCCTGAGTTGAACTGGGCCTTAGATACAGTGAGATCTTATCAATCCCCCACATTTCCTTTTTATTATTTTAGACAGAGTCTTGCCAAGTGACCCAGGCTGGACTTGAACTTGTAATCTTTGTGCCGCGCCTCCTAGGTGTCTGGATATAGACATGAACCATGGCACCCAGCCAACTCTTGAATCTTGGGTGGGGAGGGCTGTTAAAAGCCCAGCTTCCTGCTCTGGAGTTCCTCCCCAGAGGGGGGCCTGAGCCTGTCTATTCTGCTGCCATGGCAAGGGCCTCCTGGGCTGTCCTCATTAGCAGCGTGGGCATTGGGCATGGTGCTGGTAGAGCAGAGGGCCTGGGGCATTCCCAGCCCAGCCTGGATCATCTTCTCGGATGGTCAGCTGGCTCAGATGCCCCACCTGCCCTGGGCCCAGCGGAAGGGCTGCGGTTGCTGATCTGGTCTGCATAGTGCCTCGTTGGTCTGTTGGTTGCTCATTCACACCTGGTCCTGCTAGGCAGATTGCTGTGGGACAGGGACTGTGGCTTCATTGCTTCATTTATTGTTCCCTGCAGGTCCCTGCCCCTCCGCTCAGTTCCCACCTGTGCAAGCACTGCCCGTTGGAGCCGTGTCTTGTGGACAGACTTACTGGGTCCTGAGGCCTCAGGCTGGTGGTGCCAGAATGTGGCATCTCCTGCTGCTGAGTCTGGGGGTGTCAGCTGCAGGAATGTYGTTGACAGGGATGCCTCAGACTCAAGCCACTGACTGGGCTTTGTCACTGCAGAGCTGTCCTTCACCTTGCTGGATGCCATCACCGACAAGGAGCCTGTAGTGCAGGAACAGGTCTGCAGTGCTCTGTGCTCCCTCGGGGAGGCACGTCCCAGGGAGATGCTCCGCGCCTGTAACGAGTACCTGCGACAGCATGACAAGGTACCTCTCCCCTTGGGCATGGTGGCTTCAGGAACACTCTCATCTGTGCTATAGTTTGGGAGGAGATGGCAGCAAGAGCTGCAGGGTAGGTTCCCAGCTTGGCTGTCAGCGGAAAGCAGCTTCTGGGCTCCCTCAGGGCCAGGCATTTCAGGATAATGGCCACTTTTGGGGTGAGGCCCTTGGTCAGGCTGGGCTGGGCGGCAGCAGTCCTGCTCGTGTGCGCGCCATTTGCGGTGCCTGAGTGGCTCTCTGCCCAGGTAGAGGAAGGCTGTTTCCAAAGTGTGTGATTCAAGTGTCTGAGTGCTTTGTTGAGGGCTTGCGAGGGTCCCCAAGGCTCTGCCTTATCCTGGAGGCCACCAGTACGTCCACTCCCAGAGGAGCTTCTCCCAGGAAGGAGCAGGTCCTTCTCTTGTAGCCCTGGAGAGTCCCATCCTCCTGCAGGTGTGGCTGACTCACCTTTGCCTGGGACACTCAGGACTCTCCCTTAGCCCTGTGTGGATGGGAGGCTACTGTCCCAAGATCTGAGGTCGTCAGAGCTCTCTGCACAGTGGTGCCCTGTGGGACCGCATAGCTCTGCCACTGGAAATCGTCCACGCACCTTGGTTTTCCTCGGTTTCACGGTTTCAAAAGACCACTGTTATTTTTATTATTTATGTATTTATTTTTGTTCTAAATGGACACAATATTTTTATTTATTTGTTTTTAATGTGGATTTTATTTACTGAGGATCGAACCCAGGGCCTCATGCATCCAAGGCAAGCACTCTACCACTGAGCTACAGCCCCAGTCCCCACTATTATTTTTTTATTTTTATTTTTTTAGTTGTAGATGGATATAATATATTTATTTATTTATTTAATGTGGTGCTGGTATGTGAACCCAGTGCCTCACACATGCTAGGCAAGCACCCTGCCCCTGAGCTACAGCCCCAGCCCCGCTATTATTTTTTAACTGATGTTTTGCTATGTGAAAAGGGATGTCTGTGTGACGTGTTTCTCTCTCTTATCTGCTGACTGCCACTCTTGGGGAAATTGCGTGTTCCAGGAGAGCACTGCCAAGGGTGCTGGGGTTCAGGACACCTCGTGGAGGGCCGCTCCCTTTCTGTTTGCCCCTCCTGCTTGCTCAGGAGCTGGGTGAGCCAGGGGGACTGACGGGCCACACTTGTGCCCAGGTCAGCGCTGCACATGTCTTTACCTGCAGTGCTTCTTGGAGCTTTCACTGAGCCTGGTGCTTCTTTCTCTGAGGGCCAGATACAGCACTGAAGTGCCAGGCACTACTTGGTGTGATGTGGCACACTGACCTCAGCATCCAGTTGTGGGACAGAAGGTGTGTTGACCAGCTGAGGACCTGGCCAGGGCCCTGGGGAAGGAGCTCTTTCGTGTGGCTTGCTGCAGAGCCCCTGTGACCTCGGTGCCTTTCCCTTCCACTTGGCCTCTGACTTCACCTCTTTTCTACCTGTAGTTTAGCTGACTGTGAACAGAATCCCCCTTCCCACTGCACGTGCACGGTGAGTGCTGACCTCATCTTTTGGCATCTGACCCTTCCCCAGCCCTTTCACACTGCTCCTGCAAGCTGCTTCCAGGAGGTCTGAGTGACTGCCTGTAGGTTCTGCTGTTTGCCTTCCAAGTTTGAGGCCAGCCTCAGCAACTTAGATCCTGTTTCAATAAAAAAGAAGAAAAGTGCTAGGGAGCTRGGGTTGTACCTCAGAGGCAGATACTCCAGAATTCAATCCCAGGGGTGCAGTAGCAGGAAACCACCCAGCACTCACCTGCCGCTGCCAGGTGCCGGTCAGCATTCTTTATACCTGGGGGGCTTGATGGCCTCAGCTCCTGGCTTGGCCAGGTGTGTGCGGTTCTGTTTTCACACAGACCCGGAGGCCTGTGACTGCCACTTGCCTCTCAGTGCAGAGGGGCCCCGGGCACCGCTCTGCTGCTCTGTGGGGCATGGCCAGTCTTGCACACATCCACCAAGGTCTGGCCCAGGACAACAGGTTCCACCTGGGGCCATCAGGCCCTGGGGAGTGGTGGGAAGAGGTGCACAAATAGTCAAACAGTTTTCAAATAGTGGTGGATCTCTCCTCCCTCCCTTCTGCTAGTTTCTGTGTCACAAACTCCTGTCTGCTTTCCAGCCTCTTGACAGTCTCCTCCTCACACAAGAGAACTGTGGGGACTGCTCATCTCTGTGTGGGGACTTAAGCTCTACACAAGGCTKCGAGGGCCTGGGCCGGTCCCTTCGCATCGGCCACTATTTGGCTAGAAGTGGAATTGATTCCAGGGCCGTATGGGKGTGTTAGAGCCCAACCTCAGAACTGAAGTGACCATTGGATTCTGTTTGGACTGGAGTGGAGACTTGGCCTCAGTCCTGGGGTATCCTGTGAGAGACGGAGGTACGGATAGGCTTGGTTCTCCTCGGCACTTTCACAGCCCAGCACGCTTCGGAGACTGGATGTGTGGGGTCTTTTCCATGTAGTCGGTCAGTCCCTCTGGATATCAACTGCATGTCCTCTAGTTCAATTCCATTTTGACCCTGTCTGCCTGGAGGTAGAGTCAGGTCCCCAAGGTGGCAGTGTCAAGCCCGTCTCTGTGTCCTGATGCTGAACACCGCCTACAGATCAGGATTCCCACAGCCTCTTCCGTGGGTTTAGTGACTCTGCTAGAATGGTCCCTGGAATCAGGAAGCACACGTGTTCACTGGTTTACCAGAGAGATGTCAAAGGATGCAGGTGGACCCCAGAGGACAGGGTGGGGTGGGACGGCGCAGGACCCCCGTGCCCTCCTGGGGTGTGCCACCTGCTGGCTGCCTGGAAGCTCCTTGAACCTTGTTCTTAGGTTTTATGGAGGATGATTACTCTGTGATCAGCTCATCTTCACTCTTCTCCCKTCCCTGGTGGTTGGGGTGGGGTAGCAAGTCCCCAGCCTCTAATCCTTCTTTGGTCTTTCCAGTGACCAGCCCCGCCCATCCTGAAGCTGCCAAGGGCCCCAGCCAAGTCATGTCCTCAGCATACAAAGGCATTTTGGAGCTTGRGGCGGTGGCACTCACAGCTGGAGAGGCTGAGGCAGAGGATTGTGAGTTCAAAGCCAGCCTCAGCAACTTAGTGAGGCCCTAGGCAACTCAGCAAGACCCTGTCTCTAAATAAAATGTAAAAAAAGGCTGGGGATGTGGCTCAGTGGTTAAGTGCCCTTGGGTTCAATTCTTGGTACCCAAAACAAACAAACAAACAAAAAACACCATTTGGAGAATCCAAGGATTTTAGGAGTTGTGCACCTGGAAACTAAAGATATGTCTCAGGTTATCACATTTTTGTGGGGTCAACATTGGGCCTTTGCGTAGCTGAGTTCAYGGCCTTAGGGCTGTGCTGACATGCTTCTATGCAGGGGGATTTTTGTGGCCACATTTGTTTGTTTTCAATAGTGAAAGGAACAGGATTTCATTCAGGGTAAGAGGAGACCCCATAAGGGCTGCCCCTGTGGCCACCCTTTGAACTTTGAGTCACAGTTGATCAAGCCTGGGGAAAAGACAGGGTCGCCTCCGTGGCCACTCACCGATACCTGAGAGCCATGGAGCCACACTCTGGGTGAGACCCTCGCCTTGGGTCTGTTTCATGGTGAGCCAGTCTTGTTCCTGTCCCAGCTCTGCACCGCGGAGGAAGATGTGGTCAGTGCCCAGGTTCTGTCACCCCACACTGTAATCCGGTCTCTCTGGTGGGGCCTGGTGGAAAACAACCAGGAAGGCCAAGCCCTTGACCACCACCCACCTCAGCTTCTCTGCCTGTGGCAGTCTTCAAGAGAGAAATGGAAATGAAACCTTTTCCTTAAAAATGAGCAGCAAGGAAGGACCCYGGGTTTTCACTTTTCCATATGTAAGTTGTGTCCTGTATGTCCTGAGGTCTCGGCAGCCTTCGCCCCCTAGTCAGGAGCGGCCCTTAGTTGGACATGGCAGAGCCTGCCTATAACCCTAGCACCTTGGGAGGCTGAGGCAGAAGAATCACAAGTTCGAGGCCAACTTCTGCCTCTTAGCAAGACCCTGTYTCAAAAGGACTGGGATGTAGCCTAGCAGTAGAGCCCAGCCGGTGCCAACCCCCGGACTGAGGGAGTAAAGGCAGGACTTAACGCACCAACCAGAAGAGCTTGCCAGGAGGAGTCCGTCCTTGATTAATTGATTCTTATTTATTTTTTTTGACCTGAGATGGAACTCGAGAGTGCTTGACAACTTTTATTTATATATATATATATATATCTTTATTTTGTTTATTTATGTTTCTGTGGTGCTGAGGATCGAACCCAGGGTCTCTCACATGCCAGGTGAGCACGCTACCGCTGAGCCACAGCCCCGGCCCTGCATCCTCTATTTTAAAAGTAGCTTCCTGGGACAGTTTTCAGAGTATTGTCTCCCACTCCCTAGTCACAGACCCCTTCCTGGTCCCACGTCCCTGCCACTGGCCTGTCAGCAAAGCTGATGGGTGTGCCATCAGCTGTGACCCGAGGACTTAGGCCCAGGAACTCCTTTTCTTCCCTTTGCCTGGGAAAAAAGCTCCTTGGTGTACGTAAGGAGAATCAGCTGCCCAGGAAGGCCACGTGGGCTCCTGGAGGTGTGTTCAGGCCAAGAGCCAGGAAGTGGCTGAAGCTGTGGCTCTGGATCAGGTGGGAACAAGTGTCTGCCTGCTTTATCAGAGTTGTCTCCCAGTATTTAATTAATACTCTTGATTAAATAAAGTCATACCAATTAATGTTAATTTTCCAATTTTCCACCCCAAATTTCCTTATTCTCTAAAGAAAGTGCTCCCCGACGTGGGCATGCGGAGGGCAGCWCTCCCTGGAAGACGGCGCTTTGCCGTCTGTGGTAGCACTGAGTGCCCGGTGCCTGCCAAGGCTGTGAGGGCCGGCAGTGGGAGCCAGCGCAGGAGGACTGCCTGGGGGCCTGTGTCCCCGCC